ACCATCTTCCAAATGTTTGCAGATGATTTCCTTAATTACTTGCTCCATTATCTTCCCTAGCACAGAAGTTAAACTAACTGGTCTGTAGTTTCCTGGGTCGTTTTTATTTCCTTTTTTTATAGATGGGCACTATATTTGCCCTTTTCCAGTCTTCTGGAATCTCTCCCGTCTCCCAAAATATCCTATTACTAATCACTCTTTGTCCTTAATGGAAGACACCGTCTTAACTACAGAACGTTAAGTCAATTTTTTTTTTGTTGCTAAAATGGTCACGGTCTCACAATGTAGGTTCGTGAATAGGACAGCATTAAATACTCTTCTATTACTGAGCCTCTGTTTGTCCTGGAAACTGAAAAGAGCCAAACAGCACGTAAGGATCATTAGCCCAATGTGGGTAGGCTCCTATCTTTAAACCACGTTTGCAGCTGTTTAAACTGAAGACACTTCCAACTAAAAGGAAGTATCATAGCGTTTGACAGAACATTGTTCAGATCCATCCACACTGACCTACCATAGGCAACCACTGATCCAGTCATGTGCCTTGATGAATCAACTTATGGCTGACAAGTCCAATGCGAGAGTGACACAGCTTGTTACAAATTTCAGATCCATGCGTTGTCTGAGTTGGAGTCCAAGATTACAGCACACTTCCTTCTTTCTCACTTTGCTTTCATCCTCTGGGTCAAAGCTGCTTCATGAGGAGCTGCACCCATTGCCAGATAGTCCCTCCAGATTGGACAGGGTTCTGCTCACTCCTCCCAGCTTTCTACGCTGATGTTGAACGACTTCACATAATTTTTGCACACATTGTGGTACCACCATGAAAGGCGACCACTATTTAGAGCCATCTCAAAACTCGCTTTACAAAATATTCTTGGGGATACGGTCTCCTCCCAGTCTTCCGACATGACTGAGCCATCGCAACCTCCTCTTCTTGATAGTGGTTTCTGTGTGTCAGTCCTGCACACGCCAGCACTTCTGTGTTTGGTGTTTTGTCTTCCCACTTAATTTCCAGGATCTTGTGTAGGCATCTCATGTGGCAGCTATTCAGTCTCCTGCTGTGCCCACCACCTGTAGCCCACATTTCTGACAGCACACAAGTGCTCTCGTAGATTCGCATCTTCACCTCAGAGAAACGTGCATGGAATAACAGAAAACTGTTGACGAACAGCCCAAAATTCTTAGCTGCTTTTCCAATCCTGTTAGCTCAGTCTGAGGGTCAAGATTCCTGCCAATCATAGCAAAAGCTGTTGACGATGCCAAGAGATTTACCCTCCAGAGTGATGTCAGGTATTGGTTCTTCCACCCTTCAGTATACAATCAGTCTTCTTGAAACTAATTGTAGAGCCGAAGCTCTTGCATAACACAGAAAATCTACCAAAGAGATTTTTCAGGGAAGATTGACTGTGGGCAACCAAGGCTGCGTCTCCTGCAAACGGGAAATCTCTCAGAACCAGCTTTCTCTCCTTGGCTTTCCCTCTAAACTGAGTGATATTGAACAAGCCTCCCTCTAGTCTAGTTCGCAAATAAATGCCATCATTGCTGTCCTTAAATGCATGAAGAAGGAGGAATGATGTAGTAGATGTTAAAGAGCCCAGGGGCTAAGTAAGACACACCCATTTCACCCCGTTGTTAATGTTAAAGGCATTTGAGTCTATGTTTTCATACCCTACAGTTGCTCTCATACCTTGATGGAATGAATGATATTCTATAATTTGGGGAGGACAACCCAGTTTCTTCAGAACAATAAAAACCATTACAAAACATATTTCCAACATGGTGTGACTACTTCCACGCTGGCTAACCAAGCAAGGTTCAAGTTTTTTAAACTGGCTTTGAATAATGTTCAAAATAACACTTAGCTTTTCAGCTTGGGTACTCCTCCTAGGGCCCATCCCAAAATAACATTTCCCAGAGTTCCAAAAGTCTCCCTATTCAGTTACTTCCTAGAAATTTATATTTTAAAATAGCTGCCTTTATCCTACCTAATCTGCCAATCTGGGTGAATCACTCCGTTTCGTTTGCTAAAAGCTGAAGTAATGAAGAGCCATACATAACTGGGCCTCATTACTAAAATTATTTTGTATAATTCCATTCTTCTCCCAGTGATTTTCCAGCTGGAACTCCACCAGCCCCTTTTCAGCCATTAAAAACATCTCCTTAGTTGAGGGTTAGACCACTGAAATGCAAAATCCTGAAACTAAGATTTGTCAGTTCATTTCATCTACGTTGCAATAAAAAATACCACCCCCTCAAGTTTCAGCAGATCACTTTTAAACACAAACCATTCACTTGGGCTTGGGAGAGAAAAGATGAACCCTTTCTTGGCTGAGTGGGACAAGCCCAAACTAGCCTAAATGCCTGCCTCTGTTAAAGACACACCTGTGCCCATTTAACACACAAAAAAAGCCCAGAAATAAACCTGAGGGAGTGGGAGATAGAGCCTTCTTTACAGCTGTCCTAGGCTGTGAAGCACACTCCTGAAAGAAATAATAATTTCATGCTTGTCCTCTATAGATCCTTCTGTACGTCTTCACTCCTCTTTGTCAAAGCATTCCCTAAAGAACCTGAGAAACAGGGGAGGAATAGATGAGGGTTAAAACATAAAACAGGAGCAGGATCAAGAAAGTGGTCTGCCGACGTAGTTCATGCTAGACTTGTTGCAGTATTATTTAGTTGCTACAGGAAGGTTTATAACATGTGATTTAGAAATCCTGATAGATGAGATTGTTTGCGCTGCAGATACAATTTGAAAAGCTTGAACAGAAATTACCCACGAAAACTAAAAATCTAGGGGTTATTAAATGAAAAATATAATTTTAAGAAAAGATGAATCAAAGAGTTAAACAATGTACTTCTGATATCCAGGGAGACTGCTGGTATCAAGTACAACTAGGAGAGAATACACCAACTATGTCAGTAATCAGTCAACAGGTTAACAATAGAACACTTTTCTGCAGAGCAGAATGAGATATCTAAGTGTAGAGTAATTTATGTAACAGATCATGAAAATTCCTGATACATTCCATTGATGTTACAGGACCAAGATTGACAAGGAGGATATTTAAAACAACCCCCACCATCGCTTCCTTCAGTGCCTTCTGTTTTTCATGAAGATCTCCACTAAAGAAAACAGCCGGCAACATCCAGGAGACAACAGAGAACTTCAATCAGCTAGGCGTGGGAATTTAATCAGAAAAAAGTGAATGATATTGCGAATTGTTCAAAAACACTTTACTAGATTCCCAAAAAGCCACAATCCCGCAATTGAGGAAGAAGGCCGTATTGATTAAAAAAATGCCTGGTTTAGAAAGGAAGTGACAGCAGCTATAAAAAATACAAAAAGTTATAAGAAATGGAAAAAAGGGGAAGTTGATAGTAATGAATATAAATCAGAAGCTAGAAATTGTAGAAAATTGATAATGGAAGCAAAGGGTCATAAGGAGAAGTATTACTCCTGGGGGAATTCTGCACCACTGCGCAATGCAGAATTTTGCAGAAATTAATGTTGTGCACGCAGAATTTCGTTCCCCCTCACAGAAATGGGCTGCAGTGCTGCAAGCCACCACTAGGGGCCACTGGATCTGGCAGAGCCCAGCTCACACATAAAAGACACTGCCAGGAGGAAGGGGAGGAGGAGCTGGAGGGTACCTGGCAGCCACAGTTCCCCGCACGCTCTGAGAGAAGGAGATGGCAGCGCACAGGAAACGCTACACAAGCCTGGGACCAAGCATCAGGCTGTTTCTCCCTCTGGATCCCTGGGCTCTGAGGGCAGGTGTCTGGGCTAGGGGTGGCCCTGTGGCTGGGCTCTGCAGGGAGGGGGTGCGGGTACCTGGACAAGGGGTGCCCCGCATCTGACCTCTGGGGGGAGGGAGTTTGGATGTATTGGCTGGGGGGGGGGCACAGCTGGGCTCTGGCAGGAGGGGTTGTGGATGTCTGGCCCCCTATCTGGGTTCTGTGGGGGAGGGGGGGGCAGAGAAACAGGAACTGGGTTGTCATAAGGGTTTCTTTAACTCTCTACTCCTGGGGAAATTTTTGTTACAGACATACTTGCTGACAGGTATTTTGAAATAAATTACCAATATAATTGAAACCGGTGTGATTATGTGGTGTTATTTTGACAAATAAAATTTGCAGCATTTTAAAATATTGTGTGCAGAATTTTTAGGCGTCGAATTCCCCCAGGAGTAGTCTATGACCAGCAGATGTGAGGACAATAAGAAAGAATTTAAAAGTATATTAGGAACAAAAAAGAATCTTAACAAAGGTACTGGTCCATTACTAGATGGAAATGGTAAAATTGGTCAATATAAGGCAAAAAAAGCATAAGTGTTCAATAAATATTTCTGTTCTGTATTGGGGTGGGAAACCCATAACAATCTCACCATATGATGACACTCTTTCCATTTCACTGGTATCATAGGAGGATGTTAAGTAGCAGCTACTAAAGTTAGACATTTTTGAATCAGCAGGTCCAGATAACTTGCATCCAAGAGTTTTTAAAGAGCTGGCTGAGAGGCTCACTGCACCATTAATATTGATTTTCAATAAGTTTTGGAACACCGGAGAAGTTTTTAAATAATGGCACGGTATTCGCTTACTTCCAGTCTTCTAAAAAGGTTAACAGGAGGAATCTGGGTCATTATAGGCCTGTCACTCCAAAATCAGTACCAGGCAAGATAATATAAATAATTTAGGACTATTATCCCTGAGCTTGGCTCTACCTTGGCTCATCAGGGTCAGTTTGACACAATTCCCTGAATACAAACAGGTCTAGTAATGCACTTTTTTGTTTCCCCCCAATCAACAAAATTATTAGGTGGAGTTGAAACTTTTTCTGGTCACAGATAATTCATAGATTCCAAGACCAGAAGGGATCAGTGTGATCATCTATTTTGCCCTCCTGTATAACACTGACCATAGAACTTCCTCAAAATAATTCCTAGAGCATATTTTAGAAAAACATCCCATCTTGATTTTAAAATGAAGAATCCACCACAACCCTTAGTAAGTGGTTCCAATGGTTAACTATTCTCTGTTAAAAATGTACATCTTATTTCCATTCTGAATTTTCAGTCTAGCTTCAACCTCCAGCCATTGGATTGTCTCATATCTTATCTTTCTCTGCAGATCATTTTTCTTCCTTTCCTTCCCTGGAAATTACCTCTGCTCGTCACCTTCCTCTTCCAGAGTCCATAGTTATGGCTAGCACCATGCAGTATGGTAACCATCATCTGTGGATAAAAAAAAAGCACAACGATCACTGCAGGAAGTGCCATTAAAACCAGTAATTGTAACATTTGGAACTGAATGTACAGCTTCTCACTTGGGCACCAAAATTTAGGCAGCCAGAATCACTAGATACTTGTGAAAATCCAGACCTTATGACTCCATATTTAAGCACCAACATTAACTGCCAGATTTTCAGAGGTACTGAACACCCACAGAGCCCATTGACTTCAATTTGACTACATTAGTGCCTCTGAAAATCAGGCCACTAATTTGTGTGTTTAATTTTCAAAGTGCATATGTAAGGCTAAGATTTTGTCATGGATATTTTTAGTAAAAGACATGGACAGGTCACTGGCAATAATGAAAAATTCACAGAAGCCCATGACTTGTCCCTGACTTTTACTAAAAATATCCATGGGGGCTCGGAGCTCCAGGGTCCCCCTTTGCTGGTGGCACTGAGCAGCGGGGGTCCCCTCTGCTGCCCGCGGTGGCCACCAGCTTTGGGGGTCCCCGCTACTGCTCGGGAGCTGTGGGGGTCCACCCGCTACTCGCAGCTCCCTGCCTCCACAGGTGGCAGGGGACCCTGCAGCTCCCAGCCGGCGCTGGATTCCCGGACTAAATCGCAGCCTTATGCATAAGTGACTTAGGCCTTACTCAAAACAGGACTTAGGCTTCTAAGCCACCAAGGAACCTAACTAAACCAAACTTTTAACCACATTTGAAAATTTTGACCAAAAGTCTCACTCTGCTATTGAACACTTACTGAGAAGTAAAGATAGCACTTCACAGGCTTCAGTCACACACCCACTGAAATCAAAGGGAAGAGTCACACGGCCTTCAGTAGGGAGTTAGAGCAGATCTTTAATAACGGCTCATCTTAATAACACTGCTACTTTTACAAATTACAGCAAAGTACATATACATTTGTGCTAAAAATTCTTATAAATAATTAAAATCAAAACACTCAATCACTACCTCTACAAAAGGGACATAGATGGCCTTTAAGAACATCTACCTTTAGAATTGATTGACTTTATATTGCAAGGAACAGCACCTCTGAAGATAAATGGCTACAAGTACTATATTTCTTCAAGACCCAACAAAATAAATAATATAACAGGTCATGAGGTACAACAATTTATTTGTAACTAAATTCATGATATACAGACAACTTTTTTTTAAAACCTCAAACCCATCTTTGTCAAAACAAATGAAGGAAAATATAAATTCTGTGATATCATATGTTTGATTTTCTTTTTAGATAAAATTCAGTTATTAGCTAATTCACAAAATATAATGATCCACAATGGGCCTCGCAATTAATGAGTTTCTGCTGTACATTACACACAAATTGCATTACTTTCAGATAATTATCACGTCTTTCAATTAATACTTCTCTTTCTGTTTATTAAATCATCCCCAGAGGCTTGACTTGAAAAACCTTTTCACTGTTTTTCTTATTCCAAAAATAGTAGTAGTTTGGTTCTGACATGTAAAATAACTCAGCAATTAAACCAAGGTATTGCTTTAAATTCATCTGATATTTTTGAAAACAAAAACAAAAGAAATTTTGTTACAATACCAGCATATTAACTTCCTATTTAATCTAATTACAGTCTTTAATTCTTGCAGAGGTTTCTTGACAAGAGGACGTGAATGGTAGTGAAATGAAAAGCCAAAGTTTGATAGACAAACAAAACGTTTTCTAAAACTGTATTCTTCACAGTATTCCCTACTGCTGTATTGAAAACTACCTAAAAAGCTGAGTCTGACATTTACTGTGTGTTAAAAACGGAAAACAAAATATTACCTTTCTGCTGATTCTTAAGCAAATTTTTTTTTTTTACTGTTTAACCACTGTTTGTGAAAAACTCCAGAATAGTAGGACACACTAATGTTTCCCACTCTCCTTTTTTGTAACATACTGAGACCAATGGGGTTTTTAATCCATGTTTTCTTCAAGTCAAAGGTTCAGTTATTAAGGTAAAGCAAAGACCAGCAGAGTTTACCCAGAGTTCCTCTCCATTTGGCAGATATGCATTCCCCCCCTCTCGCCCACTTTCAAAGGTTTTACAACAGTATTGCTTGTGGTGGAACTAATTAAATTCTTAAACAAAAGTCAGAATCAATGTACTGCTTTGCAAACACACCTTCACCTTTCTTTTTCGAAAAGAAGAGAAACATGTAGCAGAAATGTTAACTATTTTCACCTTTTCTAAAAGTCTGATCAGGTTAGAGAATATGGTAGGCAAGACATTCATTGCTTTGTAATTTGTATTTTATTTTTTGAACTTTAAAGCTTAGTTGAAAAGTGTACTGTACATTGTTGGTGCTAGTTGATGGTGCTAGTAGTTGGTGCTAGCATGCAGTTGATGGGAATATTACCCAGTATGTAAGAGGACAGTTGGCTGCAGATCAAAAACAATAAAAGGAAACCCCATCATCTTACATTTAAATCTGGGGCTAATCTATTTTCTTCAAATTAGAGAATATGCTATTTAAAAGTGCATAAATCCATCTGCACGCTTTGTGATAAAATAAAAAGCAATACATATATATTACCTATCAGACAGACTTTAAGAAGAATGATCTGTCACAGAGTTAATCATGGGTTCAAATTGACTCTCCTTACACACCCAAAACTCCCACTGACTTCAATGGAAACTGAGTAACAGATAAGGAAGTTGACTCAAAGCAGTTGTTTGTTCCTGTGTATACCTGCCACCAACCACATAGAAATACGCACTTGTGGGAAAACTGCCCTGAAAAGGCGGTTCTGTCCAGCAAGCACTTGAATATAGATGTGTCACAACAAGCCATTTGGATTGCCCAAATGAGAAAGCAAACCTGCAGGCTGATTTAAGAGAGACAAAAAGGCTGATGTTTTGGGCAGCTGGAGCTCTTGGATTTGCGAGAACCCAGCCAGTTACAACATGTCCAACTCTGTAAGGGGCTGGAAACATGCCCCCCTCCCTCGAATCTTGGTTTCTAGGAGAGTTTGTGGTAATTTGTAGCAGAGTAGATGCAGGAGTGAGCTGTTAGAACCAGGTCATGGGTGGTCAAATCTAGTGGTCAAAGCAGGAGTTAGGCTGAGTTGGGTCCCAGAGGGCAAACCATGAGTCAGGCAGGGTCACCCACAAGGAGAAGCATATATAATCTCCTTTCCTGGGGTAAACAGTGTCCCACAGCTACAATGATCACTCACTCTTGTCAGGTATTTACCCCATGCCTATGCCTGCCTTCTGCACCTGCTTTCACTCTTACTTAATCTTTTCCTAACTAGTTATCTGTATTGTTTCCATGGAAGTCAGTAATAACATGTGCAGGCCTGGTCCTTCATGCAAAGAAAATAAATTCCTAACCTAATTTTCATAGCAAGCTGAAAGACAGATCTGAAAAAGACAGATTTTAATTCTGGCACTGATTTTTATCTAACCTTATTGCCTTTGATTCTTTTGTCTCAGTTTTATTTCTGTTAATCACCCAGAATGGGATTTTCAAAAGCTCTTAAGGGCAGTTTTCCCACAAGTGTGTATTTCTAGCTCAAAGAGGCTACAAAGGCAGAAAACGCAATAAAAATGGGGGATTTTAACTATCCCCATATTGACTAGGTACATATCACCTCAGGAAGGGATGCGGAGATAAAATTTCTAGACATATTAAATTATGGTTTCTTAGAGCAGCTGGTCCTGGAACCCAGAAGGAGAGGGGCCATTCCTGATTTAGTCCTACCAGGAATGCAGGATCTGGCCCGAGAGGTGAATATAGCAACCGTAATGTAAATCAATTTAATATCCCTGTATGGGGAAAAAAAATGCCAAAAAAAACCCCATCACAGTAGCATTTAACTTCAAAAAGGGGAACTATACAAAAATGCGAAAGCCAGTTAAAAGGAAATTAAAAGGAACAGTCACCAAGGTGAAATGCCTGCAAACTGCAGGGAGAGTATTTAAAAACATCACAATTAAATTTATACCACTCAAATTAAATGTATACCCCAAATAAAAAATACAAAAAAAAAAAGTAAGAAACCCAAAAATGCCACCATGGCTAATCAGCACACTAAAAGATGCAGGTAGAAGCAAAAAGGCATTTTTAAAAAAATGGATGTAAAATCGTAGTGAGGAAAACAGAAAGAAGCATAAAACGCTGACAAATCAAGTGTAAAAAGTACAATAAGGCAGGCCAAGAAAGAATTTGAAGAGAAACTAGATAAGGACACAAAAACTAACAGAAAACAAATTAAGTACATCAGAACAGGGAGTCTGGCAAACAGTCAGTGGGGCCACTGGATGATCAATGTACTAAAGGAGCATTCAAGGAAGTTGTGGAGCAGCTAAATGAGTTCTTTGCAGCGGTCTTCATAGCAGAGGATGTGTGGGAGATCCCCACACCCAAACCATTCTTTTTAGGTTACAAATCTGAGAAAGTGTCCCAGATTGAGGTGTCAATAGAAATGGTTTGCAACACATTGATAAATTTAACATTAATAAGTCATCAGGACCAGATGGTATTCACCTAAGAGTTCTGAAAGAACTCCTATATGAAATTGTAGAACTACTAACTGTGGTATATTACCTCTCTCTTAAATCAGCCTCTGTACTAGATGACTGGAGGATAGCTAATGTGACACCTGTTTTAAATACAGGCTCCAGAGGTGATCCTTACAGACCAGTAAGCCTAACTTCAGTACCAAGCAAATTGATTGAAACTATAGTAAAAAAAACAAAATTATCAGACACAAAACATACATGATATGGTGGGAAAGAGTCAATACAGATTTTGTAAAGGGAACTCATGCCTCATCAACCTATTAGAATTCTTTGAGGAAGTCAACAAGCATGTGAACAAGGGTGATTCATTTGATATAGTGTACTTGGACTTTCAGAAAGCTCTGACAAGGTCCCTCATCAAAGGTTCTTAAGCCAACTAAGCAGTCATGGGATATGAAGGAAGGTCATTTCATGGATCAGTAACCAGTTAAAAGATAGGAAACAAAGGGTAGGAATAAATGGTCAGTTTTCACAATGGAGAGCGGAAAATAGCAGGGTCCCGCAAGGATCCCTAATGGGACCAGTGCTGTTCAACATATTCATAAATGATCTGGAAAAAGAGGTAACCAGTGAAGTGGTAAAGTCTGCTAACAGTACTAAATTACTCAAGATAGCGAAGTCCAAAGCTGACTGTGAAGAGTTACAAAGGGACAACACTAAACTGGGGGACTGGATAACAAAATGGCAGATGAAATTCAGTGTTGAAAGTAATATAGTGAAAAGTAATATACATTGGGAAAAATAATCCCAACTCTACATACAAAATATGGGGTCTAAATTAGCTGCTACCTCTCAAGAAAGAGATATGGAGGTTACAAACCTGCAACCTGAGGTTCTTCAAGATGTGTTGTCCCTATGTGTATTCCACATGTGAGATACGCATGAGCACCATGTGCCTGCATCTGGAATTTCTTGCAAGTAGTGTCCATTGTCTGGGACAAATGCCTTTCGCTCTCCTCATGCTCCCCACCAAGGGCACTAATGGCAGTGTGGGCCAACGCCTCGCCAGTGTCCCATTCCCATCTGCAGCAGAGGAGACGGAAGACGGATAGCGGAATACAGATAGGGACCATGCATCTCGAAGAACCTCCAGTTACAGGTAAGTAACCTCCATTTCTTCTTTGAGTGATGGTCCCTATGTTAATTCCACATGTGGGAGATTAACAAGCAGTAGTCAGACAGGAGATGGGTGCAGGGACACAGAAGTGATAGCTGACTGCAGTACTGCTGTCCCCATAGCCGTAGCCGCAGCTGATGACTGTACCAGGGCGTAATGTCTTGTGAAAGTACGCAAAGAGCTCCAAGTAGCTGCTCTACGTATCTCTAGAATGGATATGTCCCTCAAAAAAACAATGGGTCTATGATGGCCTCGTTGATAGGGAGCGCCACTGGACTGGGCTCAGAGGGCTGAAGAATGTCTAGTAAGCTGTGCTGAGGAGCCTGAATTTCCTCCAGCTATATTCGTATTTCTGCCACTATCATGTGCATGAATTCTTGGTGTTGTTCTGGCAGAGGAGATGGAGTGACTGCCTCGTCTGATAACAAGATTGTTCCCGGAACCACTGGAACCGACTCCCCTTCCTCCTCTGAATATGCTGATGGAGCTGGTTGCGTATGGCTGGGTGATGGCAAGCAGGACTCATGCACTGATCCTGATTGTCTGGATTAGGACTCCCACAGTCCCTAGTATTGCCAGCAAGATGGATCAGCTGGTGGGGAGGAACTCATGGCATAGGATACCACCAAGCCCTTGGCCAATTGTGTCTGGTTGGAGGTTAGAACCCTGACCTTCTACGCCTTCTGTCTGGGGCCACCTCTCCTCAGCGCCAGAGAGACTCCTGTGGAGCCTCTAACTCATCAGAAGAACAGGCCAGATGCCTGATTACTGGTGGAACTGACAGTATTGATGGCTGGGTTTCAAGGGTAGCCACGAAATGGCATGGACCAAGTGAATAAGGAGTTGTTATTTACCCCTTTGCATAGCACAAGAACCAGAAGTCACCTGATGAAATTAATAGGCAGCAGATTTAGAATTAACATAAGGAAGTATTTTTTCACACAAAACAGTGTCAACCTGTGGAACTCATTGCCCACGGATGTTGTGAAGACCAAAACTATAACTGGTTTCAAAAAAGAACTAGGTAAGTTCCTGGAGGATAGGTCCATCAATGGCTATTAGCCACAAAGATCAAGGACACAACCCCATGCTCTGGGTGTCCCTAAACTTTCAACTGCCAGAAGCTGGGACTAGACAACAGACGGTGGATCACACAAAACTGCCCAGTTCTGTTCATTCTCTATGAATTATCTGGCACTGGCAATTGTTAGAGAAAGGATACTGGGCTAGATGAACCATTGATCTGACCCAGTGTGGCCATTCTTATGTTCTTCTTATCCCATTACACTCTACTCTTCTATAATTCATCATAATTAGAAATTTATAAGAACAATATATTGAAAAGTCACCCTCATCACAAGACCCCAAAAAGGTTGAGGAGATCGAGTATGGGGGTCAGGGGAAGTGTTCATTTAAAAAAAATACTCGGAAAAAAATTACAGGCATTTAAACTGAGGATGGAAAGTTTGAGATGTCGGTCAAGTTTTGTAAAAATGGGTTCTGCCTCCCATGGTTGTGATCTTACAAAGCAATGGTCATGTAATGGAAAATGAAGGCACTCAAACCTCACAGAACCCAGAGCAGTGGAGTAATAGTGATGTGGCAATACTGTGTACAGTTAACTGAATTTTCAGATGCTGGACAACTTTGGAGTCAGTGTTGGCACAGTCTAAAGTTTTATAATGAGGCAAGAACACTCTGAAAAGAAAGTTTTTTCTCTGTATCTATAGTGAGACTCTTGAAAGTTCATAATTTTTCCTCCTTTTTCCAACATTAAAGAATAATTCCGATATTCTGGCTTTTAAATATGTAGCTTATGCTTCTGTTCTACAGCACAAAATGATCATCCCTCAAGTTTAAGTCCTACAGGTGAAAAAATGATGGAGGGAAGGAATTAGAAACTAAAGTCTCAATCCAGCAGAACACTTATTAATGTGCTTAACTTTAAGCCTAATCCTGTGTTTGTAGTTAAGCACATGCAACAGGATGCCCAGCTAACTCTTCCAGTGCAGGATCCAAATTAAAAAAACAGTTTATGTTAACAGCTACTCATATTTAACTCCCTCCAACTTCTATAAACTCCTCTTTGCAGACTGTCTGTCAGGTCAGAAGAGAGGTTTGATCCAAAATAAGAAGATACTGCAGCACTGCTTTTACATTCACCAAAAGCTTGTTCAACCAGCCTCTTTTCCCGCCACTAAAAAATAAAAAACAAAAACAAAAAACAACTGTTGGTTCACTCTTGCAGAGATTAATGCTAGTGGGAAATACCAAGCTCATCAGACACGCAGCAATTTTATAACCTGCACAGGGAGAAAAAAAGAGTCCTCAAAAGTGTTTATATTTGGTTTGGCTTCTTCCTCCTTATAATTCTCCAGCCTTGAGCTTCAACACAAGCCAAACCACGTCAAGTGAGCCAAAGGTAATGCTAAGCATGCACTGTTGAGGTCATTCTTAACCCAACTAGAGACATTGGCATATGAAAATTACAAACTGAAGATAAAACAAAAATTAAAAATAATCTTCCTGTGTGTAAAAATAAATTAATAAAAATCGAATTGTGCAGAATATATTTACATTAATGGATAGTGGTTCCTAAATTGGAGGATATGCTGTAGGAGGCCAAGCATTAAGGTTTAAACATCTCATTTCCTTGGAATCACAGGTTCAAATCCTACCAAGGTCAACTTAGTCCGTGTTCCTCCTTAGGTAAATAAATTGAGATCCATGCAATTAGCTGTCTTTCATATGTAATTTGGCTCGGTCTAGACTCGCAACTTATGTTGGTATAACTACATCGCTTCGGAGAGTGGATTTGCCACACCCCCTGAGCAACGCAATTATAGCCGCCTTACTCCCAGTGTAGACAGCGGGAGGGCTTCCTCCACTGATAGAGTCACAACCTCTTGGGGAGATGGAGTATCTACACCAATGGGAGAAGCCCTCCCATCGGGATAGGTAGCATCTTCACTAAAGTGCTACAGCAGCACCACTGCAGCATTTTAAGTGTAGACAAGCCCTTTAAGAAGAGAAGCTGTCTGTTCTTCATGGACATTAGAAGCTGCCATGGCAATTTTCAGAAGAGTGGTATTTTGCCTTGATGCCCTGGCCAGAATTTGTCATCCTACCAATACTGTGCAGCATTCTGAAGGTAGTTTTCTAAGGTAGCGGCAGTTCAGTGGTGCTGTACTACACACAGTGTGTCTACATACAAAAATGGTATGTTCTTACCTCAGGTTAAAACAGCTGTGAAGACACGGCATCTTAGCTTTTAACTCACATTAGCAGGGTGAGTTCAACCCCAGGCTGCCATATAAGGCTTTAACTATCAGAATTAAGCCCACATATTTACTGCCCAGCTTAATTTACAGTTCAAGTACGACATGGCAAACACATGCAAACAAGACATTGGGAATTATTAGGGATGAGGGAAAACTTGATGAGCTGGTCTTAACGGCAATACCTGGAAGAGGAAGTTGGTGGACCGGGGGAGGGGGAGGGAGAGAGAGAGAGAGAGAGAGAAAGTAAAAGGTACTTAGCTCTCAGATCTCTTAGGCAGCTCAAGTGCAATACCTTTCCTGCAATATATCCAGCAAGCTACATTATCTGGCTTTAAAGATGTAAGTATGAAAAGAAAGAAATGCCCCCATTGTCACAGAGATATTGTATCAAGCTCTTTATCAGCACTGATGATGTTAAAAAAGAAGCTTGTGGGCTACATTTAAAATAAGTGTTTCTCAAACAGATGGTGTTTAAAGAAACACTCTAAAAATGGTCTATTTGATTTTGTAAGTTGTGTTTATTAGTAAAGGGCTCCACTTTTTACTTTAAAAGACAAAACAATCCCTCACCTTTTCTGTTTCTCCACTCCCTCTTCCCTCTCTCCACTCAAGGTCTTTGAAGGTCATGAAAAGTGTCAACGCAGACTGGGCAATGCTGACTTCCTGGACTCTTATCATGTATGTAAATTATGTTACCATGTAAAATGATTTGCAGCAACTAAGCTGTACTACATCATTTTTCACTTCAGGTCAGACAGACCCAGAAGAGGTTATGAAACAACAATTATACGCACTGTTCATAAGTCATGGGAACATTAAACCACTAGAAAGGTGAAGTGAAAGCTACTGCTTTGTTTAGGAATTCACACTTTTACCTTGCAACCACTTTCTCTGGAAAGAAATAACTTTTAACCTTGCTACCTGACTGTTCAGTTTAACACCAATCACTTGTGAGTGATTCTATTTATTTTTTTACCCCCTAAAGTTATTTTATGCTGATGAGAACTACTTAAGGTTGAGTACTTTATTCAAACCAGGTGCAGCCTGGGCAGCCTCCATCCTGCTCCACCTTGCACTTGAACCTGGGAACAAGTGACTAATTCAGTCTCCACAATCTACTCAGTCCTTGGCCTGTGCTGAGACTGCCCATTATGTTGGTGTTTTTTGTGACAGGGATACTGACAAATGGAGGACACCAAATAATGTAATATGGGCTGCAAACATCCATCTAATGGAAAGAGCTTTCAATAACCATCAAGCTGAAATGGAATGAAACAGGTTCATCTGGAAGACAATGGGTTAGAAGCCCTATAACAAACTCTAAGGCCTGGTCCATATTTAAATATTGTATTGACCAAGCTACATTATTCAGGGCTGTGAAAAATTTTGCCTCCATGTGCCGTACTTAGGGCACTCTAACCACCAGCGTAGATGCAGCTACATTTAGCTATCCCTTCTCAGAGAGGTGGATTAACTACACGGACCGAAAAAAAATAACAAATCCTTCCGTCAATGTAGGTAGTGCATCTGCTGTGCTGCAGTTGCACTGCTGTAGCACTTGTAGCATAGACACAGGCTGAGTTACCCATCCCCCCCGGTGCTAAACTGCGCGGACTTCTGAAGAATTACTGCACTGAGAAAGTGAAATATCCAATAAAGGGAGGCTTTTGGGGCACTAGCTAAGAGAGAAGACTAACAACATAGAATAGTCTCGTGGATGCTTGGCTAACAGTCCCATTGACTTAAGGTTGACCTAATTAGTTTTATAGCTTTAAAAACACTGGACATCTCAGCTGAATACTTCAGCCAGCTCTCTACCTCCATGGAACCAATGCTTTAGATTCCCAAACTGTGGTACATATACTCCTGGGGGTACATGAGACATCTCCGGGGGAGGGTACAAAGGAGAAATTGTGTAATGGTGGGTTTATTATTTTATTTATTGCATTTTTCTAATAGACTACTCAGACAAAGCTTTTAAAACTCGGTGGGAATTTGTTATATAAAATATGGTAGTTAATTGACTTTATGATGTGTCAATGAGAACACCGATACAAGGAGACGCTGACGTACAAAGCCCTCACCTCCAATCACCGTACAGTGCAGGTTCAGTGGCCTGGCAACTGTCCAGTTTAACTGAGCTCAGAACTTAGTCAGGGTTGGTTTTTTCCAATTGTATACATCGCACTATAACTCTATTCGTACATAACAGTGAAATATAGGCCGATGGCTCAAGACAGGCAGTGCTACAAAGAACACAAAGTATCAGTAGTCAGACAGGTAAGGGAACGCAGGCAATTAGTAGATCTGGAAGGGGGTATGCAATAAGAAAAGTTTGGGAACCTCTGCTTCAGATTAATACTAAAAGGAGGGTAACAGGTTTGTGTTTGTTTTCATGTACTAAACATGTCTAGGTATGTAATGCACAGGCTATTTCATGCACATCAGCTGTAATTCTTCCTTTTTCACATCAGGGTAATTAGTACAGTCATTTAGCAGGGCCTCCAGCTAAACAAATAGTTTCAAATGCAACAAGTACATATTTTACAAATAACTTGACTTAATAAACTTTGCTGAGTGCCTCTCAGCTAGGGAACTACAGGGATCAGCGCACACACACACACACACACACACACTTACTTGTATTAACTGGGCTTCAGTTAAAAACTACCCAGGCAGCACTGAACAGACTCCATCCATTGCTCAGAGTAAGACAATAAGATTAGCCAAACTAATTTGCCTACCTGCCACCAATGATCTACAATATTAACTACATAATAGGAAGAGGCAGGATCTAGTAATGAAAGCAGGTAAATGCATATCAGAAGACCTGGGTTTTGTTACTAACTCGAAACTGACTTGTCCAAGGTCATACAAGACATCTTGGTGCCTCAATTGCCCCATCTTTAAATAGGGATAAAACTTACTTACCTTAATAAAGCACTTTTTGATTCTTGGACAAGAAAGATGTTAAGTGCAAAGTACTATCATTATAAGCTAATTTCCTGATGCATTTCAAATCCATCCTTGCTACAATATATCCATCCGATAGACAACAAAAATGTTACTGGTTCGGCTGGAATGAAGAGTGTCAGAAAACAGACAAAGGATGCAGCGGAAATACCGCAAGCCATAATAACTAGGGGGCCATACACTTTTTTGCTTCTGTCAGTGAAGCTCACTGCACACACCAGGGGGTCCTTGCGTCCCTCCATCCTCCCCGACCCACGCCGCCCTCCCATCCCCCTCTATTTCAGGGGCTTGTTGCAACCCCTCCACCCCATGCTACAGGCTCTGTGTCCCCTATTCTCTACTCCATGCCAGGGACTGTGTGCAACCCCAGTCCTCCCCATGCTCTGTGTGAACCCCGCTTCTCCCCATACCAGGGTCCCACATTCTCCCTCTGCCAGGGGTTATGTGTGCCCTCCCCCATCCATTCTTCTTTTCTTTCTCAGACAACATTTTTGAAGTGAATTGGGAGGACAGACAGAGCTAAAATGAGAGGTAGATAGTGTTATGCTTGAATGTGTTAATGGCTGCCATCTACCAGTTATCTGATCTGTAGACAATTACAGAGGTGGCTGAAGCGGCTAGCTCTGCTATCCAGAGGTTAGGGGTTCCATGTATCTCCAATTTCCCTCTGCTGACTTTAACCAAAATCGATACGGTTCTGCCCATCGAGGTCTAGAACATTCCCTGAAATTTTGCAATCGATCCGACGTGGCGTTCCACGGTTATCACATTACATCCAAACGTCCAAGCACAGAAGTGCCATCAAGTTGGGTTTTTATAGCCCCTTTCACACATAACAGCACTTCACAAATGTTAATTAAATGTAGTGACCCCTTTGGGAGGTGGGTATGTATCACTCATCTTATAGATGTATGAATTGAGGCACAGTGATTTTCTCAAGGTCACACAGTAAGTAAGTGGCAGAGTCCTGACTCTGCGTGCCCTCCTCTAACCATTGGACCACATCGGAATTCTTCTACGAGATGCAGCCAGCTAAAGTAGAGGTTTTCGTTTTGTTTTACAGCAGCACTTATAAGTGCAACAAGGAATATGTGAAGACTAATGCTATTTCATAGTGTTTCAGCGTGCCCTGCGTTCAATTTGTTCTGCTGAAAGGAATTAATGGCCAAAGTCCATTTGAAGACAAGCATGGACAGAAAACAGCTCAGAGTGGTTTGGAACAGAAAAGAAAAGGAATTCCAGTTTCATTCTCTGAAAAATGACTGTGTTAATAGGAAGCGAGTGTGATTCATGCGCTACAGATGACAAGATGTATTATTCAAAAAGCATTCAGCTGAACTAGCAGCCATTTTGTTTTGTCAAGCTGAAATTCGAGCAAGGCGAGAGCCAAATTCAGACAGTGGTGTGGGGGTAATCATTCCATTGCTTCAGTGACAGCACCCCCAGCTCGGAGATAGAGGCTCTCTCCTGCTAGAGTAGGCAGATAGGGAGATACATGCATACACACATACAGGGCCAAATCTTCAGCTGGTGTAAACCAATACAGCTTCTGTGCCATCAGTACTAAGGGTCAGTGATGTTGACGCTATGAACTAGAAATCAGCATACTTCAGTTAAAGCCGTTTCAGTTAAACACAGACATAAAAAGCAGAGAATCTGGCTATGACTACACTACCGCTTACATCAATAAAACTTTTGTCGGTCAGAGGTATGAAAAACACACACCCCTCCCCCGACCGATTGACAAAAGTTTTACCGAAAAAAGTGCCAGTGTGGACAGCGCTTTGTTGATGGGTGATGCTCTCCCGCCAACAAAGCTACTGCCCCTCGCTAGGGAGTGGTTTTATTTTGTCAGCAGGAGAGCTCTCTGCCTTCTGTCTGCTGCCTTCCATCCCAGAAGTGACTGCAAAATGCCTTGGGATCCCTTGCTGGTGAAATGGAATTTTTACATTCTTCCCATTACTCCTAATCTAAATCAATCACTGCAAACTGATCATCTCTATGGAGCAAAGAAGCACTCTTCGGCAACAGCTTGACTAATGTTTTCCATTGATAAGAGGCTCAGGTAATAGAACCGCATGGATGTGCTATGGTTTAATAATCTCAGCCATAATTAGCCAGACCTTTGCAGAATGCTGTCGTGGAGCATTTTTTGGTTACCCTGCACTAAGAAAGACAATGGGCACAGCACCCAGGATTCCATACATCTCACAGCCTAGTCCCCAGAACTGTCAGGAAATAACCACATTCCGTATTCAAGGTGATCTGTAAAGGAGTAAGAAAACCCTAAGGCAAACGTCAGCACCGCCAAATTTTTATTTTGCTTTCCGGCAATTATTTTGACTCAGACACTGGATTTAGAAACAAAAACAGGTGTGGGAGACGACTTGACTTTCTGTAGTTTGCTTACCTAAGAAAATGTGTCTTGGAGCAAGAAGACTTCAGGGCTTCTGTTCCGCCTTGTGGGCACTCTTCATCCCCACCAGCTATGGTCTTCTCTTGGACGTCTTCCAGGGATGACGCTGTGTCTGCTGGTTAGACTAGAGGCTGACTGGATGGACCAGTGATGATGTGCACTTTCAGCAGTGCACACTGGAGAGTGCCCTTTCTGTCTCTGGAATCCTAATTTTAGTGGGTGAAATAATTGTATCATATCAATATATCACATCACAGGCATTTTTCCCAAAACTCCAAAACATTCTGCTACCTAAAACACTGTTTAAATATTTCCCATTATAGTCATTCACTTTTCACAGAGTTAATGCACATATTCTGAAGGTGCAACTTAGGCAACAGTGTTTGAAAATGTGGCTCTGCATACACACATGCACACAGTAAACAAACTTCCGAAAATGGATTACTTCCCAACATCTGGAACCCATAAGTATCTTGTCTGGCTTTGGCTACTTGACCAGAATGTTAGTTATATTTTTAACATCACAAACCACCTGCCACACTACAGAATTGTTTTCTAGTGGCGGTAGTTAGCAATGTTATGTAATCTTAATATGGTGGAGAAATGCAATAACTGCATAGAAATTTTCAATGGTTGTGTATCCTTGTAGGCTGCCCAATAGACACTTCACGGTTCAGCAGCATGGCCTCCAAGTGTTAGTAAGACACTTGGATAAGGAAGGATAGTTCATATGAATGATTTTCCCTGTTATCCTGAAAGAGCCTATATGGCAGGAAGGAAATACACTTTGTGGGACTTTGCATTTGAGAGTACTTGCTAGAGAGTGGTTTAAGGCACAGATCCAAGTTGGCACTCTCCTGTGGAACTGCTGGTGATATCGCTCACCTTTAATTCCCAATTCCTACCACCTCCGCTGGATGGAAAAGGGGAAAGATGGAGTGTGGAACAACTCGTCTGTGAGAGCTATCCCAATTCAAATCAGGCAATTATAGCATAAACCTCCACACACCCTGAAATGACCCTGCTGGAAAACATCCTCTTGCCTCTGTAATATATCAGAGAGACGCTACTTCCCTAGTTGCTCACACTGTCCCTGGGGAAGGGTCAGCACTAGATAGTCTGCAGGAGCTTTTCGGCTGACACTTGGGCTGGTGGTGAACAGCCAGCGGAGGCATGGAGGAATCAGTATTGTGAACTCCACAAGGCAGACACGGGTAGAGATAAGATTTGTCTTTGAATGCAAAGCTCCTGGCAGCAAGGTTTTCGTTTTCCTACATTCTATATTTGCAAAGCACCAATACATACCGACAGTCACTAGAGCAGAAAATCATGTTTAAACCCTGATTTTCCAAGGAAAGTAGCAAGCTTCAAAACAACAAAAGAGAAGAACTGTGCATTAAATATTTGAGTTCTTGCAATATTCAACACTTACAGCCCCAAGAGACAAACAGGAAGTGGGCAAGGAGACAAACAGTGGATCTGACGCTGAACCAGTGAACCTATGTTGTGAAGAGAAATGGAAAGCCCCAAACTGTTGCAATGCGTCATGACATGCAAATCATATTCCTAGTTCCAGCCAACCCCCTGCTGAAAGGGAAGTTATTTTATTAAACAAACAATAGCACTAGAAGTGGCTTCCATGGCACTGACTCAATTATTATTTGCTTTATTAAACTGTTCAGTGGTGATTTATTCAGATCTCTCTGATCACCCTCACTGACCAATCCTGGAACCTGAATTCTTGTAACTTTTATCTCTATTATAACTATTCTTATCTATTTTATCTCCACACACACTGTAGCTTGCAGAACTTCTACATTTTAAAGGTTTCATCCTCATTTGTTGACCCGTTCAGCCAACTTCTATTTGATGTTATGCCAGCTATTCAAAGCTGCTGCAACCAAAAGAGGGAACAAAAAACCAGCTTCCCTGGATAGGCAGCAGCTAGTTTCAGCTAAGGGGAGTTAGGCTCCTCCTCCAGTTTCAGTCTTTCCTTCTCTTATTGTACCAGTGCACAGATTCCGTGTTAACTTGGTCAGAGCCAGAGCCAGAGCTCACACTAGTGTAAAATCAGGATCAAGTAACAGAAGCAGCCCCTCACCATTCCCACTGGGGGGTGGCTTATCCACTTCACCTCAGGCTTCATAGCATGAAGAGCCACCTGACTAAACAACATAACCAAACTGTATGGGCGACACATGGACTGCCAGCTATGGGAGGTTAGCCCCCAGCTGTGCCCCTTCCACCCGAGACCCCTCCCCTCCCTCCTTGCTGGAGCCCAGAGCCCCCCACCATGGCCACCAGCCAGCGGCCCCAGTCTCCCCACCCCACAGTGCCAGGAGGGCGGGCAGCACAGGCGGCCCCAGCCTGAGCCAGGGCCAGGCACAGGGGAACTGGAGCCAGAGCGGGAAGTGGCGGGGGGAGGAGGGGGGACCTGGGAGCAGAGCGTGGGCAGGGCCACGCCTGGCTGTTTGGGAAGGTGCAGCCTTCCCCAGACTATGATACCCACCACCCATGCCACAGTGGCCTGAACAGCTCAGAGCACAAGCAGAATAATGGCAACACAAAATAACTCTGAAGGGAATTTTCAGGAGGACTGAACATCAGAACAAAAGAGGAAGTGCTGGGTGTGGGTCTGAACAAGAGACATTTGAAACATCATAATTTTAAAAGCTACACATCCTCTTTTTTCAGAAAAAAGCTTCTTGTGTTGGGAAGGATCACTAACAGTGAAACCAACCTCTCTCCCTCAACCCCTTACACCTGGTATCGGTTACGTTAAAGCATTTTTTTAGGGTTAAAAAGCGACCATGTACAAATGGTTCCTGCTGCTCCCTGTGTCTCTGAGTCACATCTGCTGATCTTTAATCCTGTTAACCCCATAGGAGCTCATGCAGCTACGGGAGAAACATCTCACACTTTTACCCCCTCCCCCCTTTATGTAACTATAAACATCAAGGGGGTGCATTTGTCCACCGCAAAAACTTTTTGTGGCTGAGATCCTCAGCGACTTTGCCTGCATCTATCTTGGCCAAAAAATGGTCACATAGCTAAAAGTTTAAAACCCACCAGTTTTCACCTATGTACAGCGTTTTTCTTCTTATATGGCAACAGTAGTGGGGAAAAATTTGCATCAATAACGTCATTGATGATTCATACACGAGTTGATTAGCTGTATGACTTATGGCCATCAGTTCTTTAGGCGGTAAGAATAATTTGCATCTCGCCTGACAGAAAATTATTGCCCGCTAATCCAGAAAACTGCCAGAGAAAAGGCTGGGTCAATATCAAACGCTGCCTACGAGTCCAAGCACTACAGTTCTAAAGTGAGCTGAGGTTTCATACTGTGGGCCTCAGTTATACTTGGCCTAGGCCACCGATTCTACTGCCAGGTTTTGTAAAAGATATTCAAAAGGCTGCTCAAGTTATGTTCAAATGAAGAGAGGGCAGGCACACACTATTTATTTTAAAAAAATCCCACAATAACTTGCCCAAAAAGACAAATTAATTTTTCAAACAAATCTCAAATTCTCCGCATCCACAAAGGAATTGTGAGGGCAGATGCACCTAGGACTGCCTCATCAGATCACCACTGATTGTTTTAAGTTAACCTCTAAATAAGCAGAAGTTGCTGAGGAAAATGCATATTTGAACCTGCCCAGCTGGCTTTGACCGAGAGCAGTTACCAACTGAAGGAACCCCTGCAAAATGAATTCAATAGCGTAGGTCCCTTTCCCAGAGAACAAGGGACAGATTCTCTTCTGCTGATAATCTCTGCTTGGTACAGGTGGGGTCAGGAGAGTCTGTTATGGCTCCCTGATTCCGTGGGCTGACCTGTGCCAGCCCCAGTGTGTGGTACAGATTTATGCCCCTGGAGAATTAGCAGAGCTCCATCTTGTCCGACACATCCCCTATGCCACGGCAACTATGGGCAGCTGGCCCAGGGGCCTGTTCTGCTGGCTTTATGCAAGCGGATATTTCCTCACCACCACAGGAATTCTCATCTGGACAGCTAGAGCCAGAATCCAGATACAATCTTACTGTTCTACTAACCACTGCGTGCAGTGTTTACTACTGCAAATAGTCTCATCAAAACCAATGGGGATCCGCAGAGTACGAGATAAGGACAAGAAGCCTGCATTTTCAAATGTCACTTGAATTTTTGGGTGCCCAACTTAAGACAGCTTAAAGGGGCCTGGTTTTCACAGGGCAAGCGCTCAGCACTTCCTGAAATTCAGGCCCCTTTCAAGTCATCTCAGTTTGGGTACCGAAAAAACAGGAGCACCCAAAATCACTAGCCACTTTAAAAAGTTAGGCCAATAGTCTCTGCGAGATCTGATCTGAAAAATCACAAAAACAACCCTACACCCTGCTCTCACTGACACCCAGTCTCAGCAGAGAGGCCCAGCATAGGAATGGATCATGAAGACTGAATTCCCCTCTGACTGATGAAGGGAGCTGCCATCCATCCTGAGGGCCAGAGGATGAGGAACTTATGCCTATATCTGCTCCTTTTCGATAGGCTGCCAGTTCTGCACTTTTCATTGAACACTAAATTATATATTCTATATGTAAATGCAGGGGACAAAAAAAAAAAACTACTGTTACCAGAAGCAAAACATCTTGAAGAAAGGGAAATTACGATGTACTGTAGCAGAGCACTGACTATTTTCTGAGTAAGAAAGAGTTAATTGAAACAGTCACATTAAACTTTGGAAACTTGGCATTACTCTTTTTTTTCCCTACTCATTTATTCCAAAGAACTCTCCTTCTCTTCCTCCTCCTCCTCCTCCACAGCGCTACTCATGTCTCATTAAGTTCATAGCTACTAACTGTCACACCTAGCAACCATTCCCTCAGCATGAACTAGTATTCGTTTCAGATTGTTCATCTCTTTCAAGATGGCCAGTTGCTGTTGCAAGCTTTCCCCATCACTTAATTTAAGCAAAAAAGAAGACTCCTCTTGTACCAGCTATGTCCTCCTGATATTTTCAAGTCATCGTTTCAGAAAACAATTACTTGATAATATGATACACCAAAGTGGTACATCATAAGACAGTCTTCTAAAGCAGGAACCACGTAGTACATTCTAGTTGTTAAAATAGGAACTAGTCTAGTGAACTACTAATGATGGGAAAGCGTATTTACTGAAGATTAACATCATGACGCATGGAATTTCAGATTTCCACAGCATGCAATAAAATGACCTCTAACCCCCTTCTAAATGCCATCCGATTTATTTTGCCCTCAAACTTCCTGTTCTTGATGCTTAACTAGTTGTGTTTTCTCACCCATCATAACCAAGGGGACTGATTCTTATTGCCATGAACTTTACGCAGTCATTTATATGTCCAAAGAGCATGTAATTAGAATAATAGTGTCTCACTATGCATCGGAGTAAATAATAATGACACAAGGGGAAGGCAGGGGAGAATCAATCTCAAGGCTTTTCAGAAAGCAGACAAAAATGCAACCTTATCTTCAGCCTTTCTTGTGTTTCTTAACTCTATGCATCCTTGTTAGTTTTACATATTGTGTCCCTTTGTCAAACTGCACCTAAAAGTGTGAGGGGAACAGAAATATTAGAAGACAAAAAAGGAGGAGGAGGAGCAGCAGGAGCAGGAAGAGATCATATCAGAACAATCCTTGTGAACAAACAGATGAGGACAGGAAAATGAAAAGAGGAATTATAAGTAAGATTTGCATGTTGGCTTGAGACCATGTTCTAATTTAGATGTCTAAGTAATTCAATGTCTGCAAATCTTTGCCTTCACTCCAAGGCTTTCATCTAAAGAAATCTCTCTCCCACAAAATGTGTTAAGGTCAAGAATTATTTCTTACATTCTTAAGTGCTGGAGCATTGTTGAAGCCCTTTCGTTACCTCATTAAATCTTGCATCTGAAATCTGAGAGGGGAAACCACGTTGAATGAAATATGGGCTCAAGCTTTTTAAGAACACAGAAGCTGCACACTCACACACTAAAGATTAGAGGGCACTTTAATCAGTCTTGTACTGTTCGTGCTCCAAGGTCTCTGACCGCAACCAATGATGGAGCCACAGAAAAGGAGCAGAGCCAAAATGACTTCACAAAACAGCAACTCCAGTTAGTTATTGTATTAATCAAAACCATACCCAGCGCAGTAGTCAGAGAAGGGACAGGACAGGGGGGGAAGAGGAACATCAACAACGTGGACTAACATTTACAAAAATACAATGAAGCCACAGAAAAGTGTAATGGTTCATTTGTTTTCAGTCTCAGTTGAATTGCCATAATCCTTTACGTTACCCCATGTCAGTAGGAATTTGCAGTCAATTGTTTTAAAGCAGAATTCAATTCAATATAGATGCTGTTCAGTGTCAGAGCCTACATGCTTTCCTGTATCTTACCAAGTTTCCTTTCATGAAAAGAGGAATCTCTGATAGCTGATGCGGTTCTTTCCAAAGTCTGTGGCTTGCTTGAGCATCTAATACAGGATGTCCATGAGGTCAGGCAGCACTGGGGAAGAGGAAATATAAAAAATAAGAACAGTTCATGATTCTGCAATAGGTTAGCAGTTGCCTGGGAAACAGAAACTACGTGTAGGCAGAATTCACCCTAACAAAGTGAGTGTGTGCACACACAGTATCTACACACCCCTCCCTGAGAAATAAATAACCAATTAGATCCATCTGGAATATTTCTGCTGAAAAGTTTTCAGCGAAAAATAGAGGGTGGGTGTGGAACTTCCACAAATGTATTTTTTCACAATTTTCAGCCAGCTCCAATAATGCTCTGCATGTACACAGCCTCTTTCGGGACCTAAGGACTTCATGGACATTAAGGCCCCTTTGCAATACTCTGGTAGCATGAAGGGGCCTTAAATTGGGCAGAACCCACCCCGAGAATCACCCCTACACAGGGACCTTCTTAGCTGGCATAAAGCCTCTGTACTGGCTCAGTGTAGATGGCAGACTGGAGGCAGGACCAGAGTCCACCATGTTACAGCTATTTTCTTCTTCCCAGTTCCCACGGGGGGGCCATGGAAAGCAGAGTGTATGTCTAAGTAGCCCTGAGGCTACTTACAATGATCCCAGAATACAGGGACAAAGGTGGTTTTAAGCGTGCCACTCTCCATCCATTCCCAGAAATAGTGTTAATTGAGGATCAGACCCTAATTTTCTCAACACCTCTGAGAGGAAATACCCACATTTTACAGGGGGGAGACTAAGACACTGAGGAAATGTGAATTACACACAAGGTAATATAATGAGTTAATAGTAGAGCCAAGCACAGGACCTGGGGATCTGGTGTAACAAGCGGTAGCACATAGAGAGAATTGAACTGGGTGAACTTCTGAAGCTTGGGTTGAGATTTCCATGTGAGGAGATGTGTAACTCATGCCCACTCAGTGTGGCACTCTGTCCCCCTCTGCCTCACTCAACCACTATGTGACCCAACTCCTGGTCTTCTCTGCTACAATTATTAGTTCACCATGCCTCTCTTAGTGAGCAGTCTCATCAACCTAGGCTGAACGTGAAAAGTCAGAGATAGGCTAGCCATTATTATTTTTGTTTCAGTGAACTTAATGCTGGTGAAAGGCGACAGACAGCGTTCCATACTCCAGCATTGTCTATTGACAGGACAGGAGCAGGCTGTAACAATCTTCCCACTTAGTTCAAAAGTTTCCAGTGGAAGTTTTTCTTGAGCAGGAACTGAATAAAAACAAGAAAGCATGCCCTTAATTATTACAGCCCTGACAGCACCCTACACTTATGTTCATTGCCCTACTACTGTGATATAGCTAATGAACTAAAACAACATAGAGCTCTGATCCTGCAAACCTTACTCATAGTAGTAATCCTGGAAGCCCATGAGACCTCCCACAAGCAAAGGTTGTAGGGCTTTTTGTCCCATTCTATCCTAACGTAATAACAGGAGAGACAGCATTTCTGTTCCAAATAGACCAGCAGTTTGAACTCCTGTGCAAGTGAAAGTTAGTCTCCAAGATGCCAGCGTACCCACACATATTTACCTTGGAAATATCTAACTGGGCAGAAAGATTGAGATGCAGATTTTTTTAACTGAGTAACAGACAAGGGTTTGGTTTGGCCAGTCACTAGTTTTTTTAAGAAATATTTTAAAATATATATTTTTTAAAAAAACACGGAGAGAACTGAATAAAGTTTGGTACTGTCAGGCAGAAGTGGTGGGAAGATTTTTTTGAAATGGTGGAGATATTCGAAAAGTGGTTGCTACGCAAGTGTTGCAGTCACATTCAAAGCAATTTCTCTTATGCGTAACTGCTGCACTGAACCCATGTTACTGCATGATTAACCCTTGCTCTGCCAAGTGGTTTAATATGGCTAGTGGTTTCAATTCATGTCAATTTTTGTTAGGGAAGGTCAATTTTAAACAGGAAAGCAGCTTTTGAATGATCAGAGCCATATTAAAACCTTGTTAAATGGAGTATTTAGCTTGTATAGCATTATCCCCCCACCAAATAAAAGTCCTATTCCCTCCACCAGACCAAGAACGTATTGCTTAGCGCAGCGGAGCCTTCCATGGGTCAGAATCCCACTGTCCGGGCTGCGGATCGGCAGTAGATTTGCCAAGGCTAGCACGGTGGAAAAATCGGTGGAAGCCATGCTGTTGCAGTTCCACTTGTGCCCGCTCCTCCCGCTCTCTGCAGCAACCTGGAAGGAGCGCCCACAGAGCACAGCTCTGCGTCACATCCATCTGCAGCCTCCTAATGCCCTGCCAGCCCTCCCATGCAGGAGTCAAATGAAGAGTTAATATGGACCAATATGCTTTTTATTGGACAAGACAACCCAGTAGAACACTATGATCCACTGGTCATAGATCATAACAGTATCATTCTGATTTGTCTCATGCCAGACCTAGAAAGAATAAATGACATAATATGCAACTGCAAGCCAATGTTAACTCGCTTCACTGCATTTAGACACACCAACTCATATGGCATGTAAGTTCACCCCACATTTTATGGCCTTGCCATAGGGGGCTACATTACCTTCTATGTCTAGATGAAATGGAGAGGGTTAAAAAAAAGCTTGAATAACTTTGCCTTAGTGGGTTAAAATCTAAGGGGTCAAATTCAGAGCTGGCTTGTGAGGATGAAATTCTACTGAAGTCAGTGACTTACCACAGGCTTTAAAAGGAGCGATGGGTTGAAATTAAGTGAAGGGAAATTGCAGCTGTTAAGGATAAATGCCTAGTGGTCAGCTCTACTAGACTGTGGAAGTGCATCCCAAGAAAAGCACTAGCAGACTCATCACTTCAGCCATTTAAAGCTAGCCTGAACAACACCGTAGAGAATATACTGTAGTGAACAATCCTCCACTGGACTAAATGGAACCCAAAGGGTCTTTTTCAGTTGCTAACTTCTATGAAATGTCTGTTTCTAAGCATTAGCAAGGGAATTCAAGCCTTTCCCTGTGCCCTTGAAGGGAAGGTGAGCTACATGCATGTCACCACTCAGTGGCTTGGCACAGAAGGGTTCTAGAAGGTAGGTACTGTAATGCCCCTAAAATGATCGCTGCCATACAAGCCCTTGATGCAAGGCCATATAGCAACATGCTATCTGTAGTTTAACGCGTATTAGAACCACTCCTTCTGTTTTATTTTGCAGATCCCTCAATTGAAACTGTTCACTAAAGAGACTCAGAACTTTCATCTTCTGGCCACATGTCTCACGCTTAGGGCCGTGTGGTCCTTAGCTGGTCCTCGAACCATTACATTTTCCTTTCCTCCATGGAAACTACCCTTGCACCTAGGGGGCTGAAGCCAGTGCTTCATGTATGGATGGGCTGCAAGAATGCAGGCAGTTGTGACGCATGTACGTGGATCCCATGTATCTGTCTGAGGATGGGGGAACCAAGCTGCCAGCGTCCAAATGTTGTCAGTCTAACACATGCACCAATGGTTCAATGGCGGCTCTGAAGTGAATGAATTTCATAATCAAATATGAAGCCAGTGGCTGCGTGAAGACAAACCTTCTAACCCATTTGCCCTATATAGAAAGTGTTGTGCTTGGAGATGAAGGGATGTATTTAGCTAGAAAATATCTGCTTCTTGGAAAGCTTAAGGTCTGAATCATGCTGTGTTGGCTTAGTTTTTCAGCAGACAAACTACCACATAGGTTTTCTTGTGGGTGGAGAGGCAGCACTGCCATCAGAATTAGCAGCTGGGTTTCTTTCCCATGAAAACTAAGTAACAATGCCACTCCACACTAGGGGCCCAGAGTTACTTGAAAATATCACTGGCTTGTACAAATGGAAACACCTGCACAAAATCAGGCATCAGCTGGTCAGGCAACAGAGCAGCAAGGGACAGAAAAGCCAGTAAGCAGTGACTAGCACTAAGAATATACAAGGGACTGTGCCAACTAGATGGTCACTGGCAGAAGCACAATCAGCAACCCGAAGAATTTGAGTGATAACAAATATGTGAGCAGATATGCAAATATGGATGGCTTTTTATTTATTTATTTTTTGCATAGGTGCAACTTAGGTGTCTATGTTTGAAAATCCGCTCCCTCTCGCCTACCAGTCCAGGAAAAAGGGTTTTTACCAGTTCTGAAGATCAGCTCAGAGCACAAAACTCAGAACTGGATTTCAAAATACCGCCATTTTTGATGGTTATTTAGATTTAGGGTTCTGGTTTGGCCCATTACAAAAGCAGAGACCATTTGCAAAACTCAGAGACAGGTGCAGAGCTTGATCATCATCACTCCAGGACATTTGGTTCTAGTACCTGTTAGTGGCTGATGGTGAGACAGCAGAATGACCTTGCAGGAGGTGGTCGATGGTCCACCCTGCTGTGGAAGGTAACTCTCTCTGGGCATGAGCACAGTTATTCCAAGATCGATCTCTGCATAAATTATATAAAAACAATCAGTATTTCTTAATACTAGTAAAACCATTCCATGAGCCAACATAAGTATCTATTGCTCTTTCCCAGCAAAAATTGTAGGGGGGCGGGAGGGCAGGAGAAACAATGGAATCAATTTCCCCTCTATAAACCAGGGCATCAATGCAACTCGGAATTGGCATTTTATATGGAAACCCTGTGATCAGGTACATCACCAGCCATAAGTATCAGCTATAGCTAACCACTGCGGCATACGTCCCAACGCCAGGCATCAAAGACTGGTAATCCCTGGCCACACCCATACCAACTACAAGAGAACGCAATGCACAGGGTTAAAAAAATCCTAAAGCAAGATGTGGTTTTCTCAATGGTTTGGGGGTGATTTCTGGTGGGTTGGGAAGGGGACAAAAATCTAGTATTTGGATGTTTTTAATAGATTTCTCCAACAAAACCATTTGCTGAAAGAACATAACCTCCTCACAGCATCAGCAAAGCTTCTGTCACAGAGCCCAACGCTGTATTTATACAACATGGAAATTAACAGCAGCAGCACTGCAGGCTCAGAATCTATTCTGCAAGCAACAACATGGCTAGCGGTGCCGTTGCCTCCATTTGGATTCCTCTGCTGCTTATGAGGGGTGAAAATGGTGGATGCCGATACCACTGCTGCTTTGGTTATGGTTACACACTATACTACCGACGTTGAATTTATGTCTCTATGAATCTCCGTTCTAAACCTCACCACTCCGCTCCACAAAGCGGAGACTCCCATCACCAACAAAACAGAATGCGTCACAGATGTAACACGACCATCAGCAAAACAAGTGCAGGAAGAAATCATGGCCGCCCGTTCAGAGCCCTGCTCAGATGCAAAAAACAAAACAAAAAACCCCAACACTGGAATTTTCAAGGCCTGTGTTATCGGGGAGACCACACTGGACGATCGCGATGGTCCCTTCTGGCCTTGGAATCGAAGAAAAACATTAAGGTAATGCGTTCAAATGCATAACGCCGTCCATTGGAAGGTCTGAAAATGATTTACAACAGGGTCCCAAATTGTGACTCCTTGCATGGTAAACACTACTATGGAAATCAGTAAGGGTTTTGCTTGAGTAAAGACTAAATGATTCAGCTCATTAATGAACAAAGCTTCACAATACCCCTCTGAGGCAGGTATGATAAACTCCATTTTACAGAAGAGGAAGCCAAGGCACAAGGAGGTAAAGTGACATGACCAAGGTCACACAAAAGCAAGTAAGTGGCAAAGCCAGGAATAGAAACCAAAATTCCTGACTCCTGTTCAGTGCTTAACCACTAGACCACTTTTGACCAATTGATTGTTCATACCTCTAACACACTTACATTAGTAACTCCAGCCACATGATCTGAATGAGTCAGTTTTCCCCATCACCCTATGGAAAAATACCATGCCTCTGCCACTGCCTTATTTCAGATGATCCTTTGAGTCCCATAGATTTAGCTGCAGCAGGTAAGCTCAATTCCCACATGAACATGTGTTTAGCAGTGCAACTAAACTTAAAGGTTAAAATAAGACAACAAAAATGAGTCACAAAGGCAAACATCTCTGTAAGCAGCTGAGAAATGAGAAAAGGAATAAAAATGAACCACTCTCCATGCCTGAATATGGGTGCTCAGAAAGGATGCTTGCTCTTTGTTGAGTGGAGGGGCTGCCAACTGTACCTCCTTCTCTAAATCCAATCCCCAGTGGAAACCCCAAACAGCATGACAAACACCATTATTGGGCACTGTATGTTGCAAGTTAATACGGAGCCCCCAGCAATGATAGGTGGGAAAACAAGGGGCACCCGTATACGTGACATTCAGCAAAATGGACTTAACCCACCAGTCTCCCAAGCAACAGCTCTTAACCCAGCTGCTGCCTTGTACAAATGCAACTGCAGTATTGTGCCTAGATACGTATATGTATTGTGTGCTCTGCAGTAAGATGAACAGACACATATTGTTACTGCCGTTCCGCTGCTCTGCGGACCTGGCACTGCAGGAAGCAAGGAGACTCCAAGGGAGCCAAATACACAGGGCGAGGGATCAGCGAGTCATCAGGGGCATTGGCAACCGCATTAAGAGAATTTTAAATTCACTGTGAACCTTGGAAGAGGGAGGAGAGATGAAAAACGTAGAGATGGACACGAGGAGGGAAAGAGGAGAGCGGATCAGTTATCCCCTCTGGCTTATTGTTTTCCCTCCTCCTGTCTCCTACCACTTCTCCCTCTTTGGAAACAGTCTACTCCCTCCCTTTTACTGCCACAAGACATTGAGCTGGAGGCAAGAGAGCAAGGCAGGTGCTCTTTAAGACCTGATGAAATCAGCACTGGAAGGGTGTGCGCGCATGTATCTACATTATATAAAAATCAGGATGCACTTTAGGAGACAAACTACTATAAAAGAAATCAAGAAAGAGAACGCAATACATCTGATCTGGTTCTAAACCCAGCGATTGTTGCTAAATCACTATACTTGGCTCTTTAGATGTCGGTAAGTTATACATTAAATGCTTGTACCCCCATATTCTTGAAGTCACTTCACATGAAAAAGGGATAAGGAATAACTCGCCCTGCTGAATAATCAGGCAAGTTACTACTCCTCTGCAGAATCTGGATGGCTTCCTGAGCAAGAAGACCCAAGCTCAAATGATTTGTCCACAGAACGTCAGAGGAGAACTGAAATCTTCATTGTCGATCACTTCGAGGAGGCAAGGGAGGGTGAAAAGATAGCAAAATATAGTTATGAAAAAAAAATGTCTTCCTGTTTGTCTTGGCCTCCTTACCCTCTTTTCCAGGTCCCTCCCGGACCTGTGCTGTTGGTCAATAACAAGAACTTAATATCCTTAGAGGGAAGAGAAAGATACATAAAAGTCTATCACTTTCCTCTGGCCTGACTGACACGTCACTGTGGCTTATTTTGCAACAACAGGAAACTCACCTGTCACTGAAGTAATTCAAGCTACGAAATACTTGGTTCTGGCAGTGTTATTTGCATAAATAACATAACAAACCACCTCCAAGAGTTTGTCACATTCTTCCCTTGCTTTTTGTTACTTTGCATAACTGAAACTGCAAGAGAAAGAGAGAGATTTCAAATGCCTGCCTTAAAAAAAAAGGAAAAGAAGAGAAAACCCAGGTGATTTTAGTCACAAAGTGTTTGGAACTGATTTGAGGCAAGTGAAATCAACATTTAGATTTGACACCCTGCCCTCAGCCAATCCAAGAGAGCTTTTCACCTGCCATCACCCCTTCTACCAATAGGATCAAGTGTTTAGGCTCAGAACCCTCCCCAGCCAATCGTGTGCAAGCTCAGCCACTTAGTTAATGATGCAGCAGTACAGGGAAGACTATCACATGTGAGCTGGAAGGCTGCCAACATGGAGACACGGAGAGAGCAAGGTAAACAACTTTCCAACGCCAAAATGATGACATTTAATCCCTAAACCTTAGCTTCCCTTCTCGACTCATCCTTAACCCCTTTCTGCTAGTCTGGAAGCCTCTGAAAGGCGCTGTGTACCTGTCCCCCTGATGCTTTTAAAAACTGGACAACATGCCCTGCAATGATCACTGCGTCACCATTTACCACTTTCTGAACTACGCAGTGACAAACCTCCAAGCTTTAAAATGCAGAGTGTCTATTAATCCCTGCACCAAGCCCTGGCCGATGTGCCAGCCTTTAAATAAGTGGGAGGGAGGAATTTAAAAAAAAAAATTATTTAACGACAGCCTCTGCAAAGTTGTCATCTCCCCCCACGACCACCACCCCCAGCTGCCTAAGAGCACCACAGGCAAGAGCGACATTCGTACCACCTGTGCCATCGTTCCATTCAGAAAACGGCTCTGACGCAGAACAGTGCAGTAACATCCAGCCAAAATCATAATAAAACCACTCCGGGGTTTGAACTTAGAGGAGTGGGAGGGAGGGGGGCAGAAGAACCTGTAAATAAATAAAATAAGATGCAGTTCTAACCCAATCCCAATCAAAGGTTACGTACGTGGAAAAGACGGACCCCGAGCCGAAGACCTCTGCCCGTTAAACATCTGCGCAGTCCTTAGCCCTTCGCTCGCTCGCTGTGCAGCGCCGCAGAATAGAATGTTCCAGAATTTTCCTCACGTTAACCCTTCCGACGTCTGCCCACCCTCCCTCCCCGCGGGATTAAACGCATCGTGTCTCCAGCATCGTCAATGGGCGAACCCTCCAATATCAATTAAGCCAAAATAAATTTTTTAAAAATTAAGCTGGCCGGTTGCAGGAGCCCAGTCCATGATGTTATTACTTCTGTCTCTCTCTCTCTTGCTGCCTCTCTCTCTCCCCCCTTGCTGCAGCAGGGCTGTTGCTAGTAGACCTATCGAGGGAGCTTGCTCTCTCTCTCACACTCACTCTCTCTCTCAGAGCTCTGTGACGCAGCTCAAAATTCTCCAGGCTGCTCCCTGTGTTATAACAGCGGAACTGCAGCTTTCCCAGGAGAGCTGATGCCAACAATGCCAGGGCCAGTCAAATCAAGAAAGTCAGTCACTGCTGGACTCTGCACCTCTGCCCTTTTCTTGTTTTTATTAATGCTCCTCACCTCCGTTTTTTTGCTTTGGTTCCAAACCTCTCACGATTGCATCTTTTTCTCTGCTGCTTAGTCACACCTACTCGGTTAACTCTTTTGGGGTCGGTAGTCAGCAATGCAAATCTCGAACAAGTGCCACTGACAGCATGGACAACTTTGTGGTGGTTTTTCTTTTTAAAACCAAGGTAAATCCTCTCCCGTTCCTAAAAGAAAAAAAAACAACAACATTCCAATGGCATATTAATGCTGTTTGATTAACTCTTTCAGGGATAGGAGACATGGTTTGACTTTGGGAAGTAACGCACTTCGGCCCAGAGCCCGCAAATGTTCACGCACGTGTTTAACTTTACGCACAAAGGGACTTCAAAGGGACTACTCACTTGAGTAAAGCTATGTGTGTGTGTAAGCCTTTGTAAAACGGGGATGTAACCGGATGTCCCTGGATGGGTTTTTGGCAGCAGGGCTGAAACCTTGGACCTCTGGATCTGAAAGCATGAACCTCAACTGCCTGACCTAAAAGACCCAGCTGCATTAGCCCAAAAGCTGTAGCAGATTCATCAACCTCGTGTGTTATAACAGCAGAACTCCTAGCCACTTGAGGGAGACAAAGAGACAAACTACGTAAGTGTGGGTTACTGTAAGTATTGGAAAATTGTAAGCTCTTCCCTTTCCATCCACACTGACTTCAAAAATGTGTTAACCAGATAAAATGAATGCTTGTGCCCAGAGTGAAGATTTTGAGGCTCATGACGACATTGCCTGGATCACCAGCACTACTAGCCACAGTCCAGGAATCTTCATAATAGCTAAAAACATCAGCACAGCCCTGTATGGGTTAGGCAAGCAAAACATTCCAGAGGGCTTGGACACAGCTCCTCAGGCAGCAGGCTGAAGGTTAACCCTAGTGAGTCATAGCTAGCTCCCATGTTCGGCAAAGAAAGTTGGACGCTCAGATTATTTATCTTCAAGAACTAGGGCAGTGGTTCTCAAACTTTTTTCTCGTGGACCACTTGAAAATTGCTGAGGGTCTCAGCGGACTACTTAATGATCTTTACAAATGTTGTTTGTACCATTAGCTAAATATTGTAAAGCGCTTTGGATAAAAGCACTATATATATATAATAAAAAAACACAATTAACTTTTTTTGTTCTATAAATAAAAGCACACAACTCATATTTTAGTATCAGTAGTCTTACCTTTCTAATGCAAAGAATGTGCCCTCTCTCTTCCGCCGCAGCAGTCCCCGAGC